CTCTACTTCCTTGGGCCAAGTATCATGCCCCATGTGCTCTAAATTACTTACAGTTGATTTAACCCCCAACAAGGATGTTGGAGATCAGGCTAAAACAACAATTAAGGGTTTTAGATCCTCGAGTATTTTGAATAGGATTCGACTTGAGAACTTTCAGACAAGCACCAAGATAGAGGCTTTGGTATGTATCATGAAGTAGTTATTTTACATAGTATTTCTGGTTTTTCTATGGGTATAAAACTTTGATTCAGCTAGCTCTTGGTTTCTTTAGTCATTGCTTTACCTTTTGTAAAGCTTGAGCTATAGAATGTCTTGAGGATTATTCAGGCATGCCAAATTGATTGATTACAAATATTGAAATTTTTCGATAATTAGAGTTTGACAATATGTAACTCTGTGTTTCGATAAGGTATTTTGTAATTTCTAAGAAATTTAAATATACTAAATTTTAATTTCTTTCATTTTAAATGATTTGTTTGGATAAGACAATTTATATTTATTAAATTTAATTTTTTTTATGTGGATAAAGCATTTCAATTACTATCAAATATAAAAGTTATCATTATTATATTTATGATCTGGGTCCAACTTAGAGATTGTTATCCACATGGGTTAGGTTGGATCGAAATGGACCATAACAAGCTAGATTGAATTGTCAGATTCGAAAAGACTAGACTAGATTGGTAAGGTTGTCTTCTGGTCAAGACAAATTGTTTTGGATCAAGAAGGCTAGGTTAATTGGTTAGGATGAATTGGGTTGTGACGAATTATGTTAGGATGAGTTAGATTGAATCAAACCATGTCAAGTTGAGTTTGGTTGGTCAGGTTGTAATAAGATAGGTTAAGCCAGGCTAAGATAAGATGTGTCAGGTGATGAGTCGGGCTAGACCTAGATGAATCAAGTTGGGATAGGTTGTGTCAAGGTGAGTCATGCCTACTTTGGGTAGTTAGGTTGAACCTGGTTAGGAAAGGAAGGGTTAGATTAGGTCGGGATGGGTTGACATGTCAATACAATATGGATTAGATCGAGAGTGGTTGGTTGGGATGGTTCGAGTATGGTCAGAATGTGACGGGTTGGTACGAACTAGGTTAAGATGAGTTGGGTCGAGTTGGGTTAGTCTATATTGAAATGTGTCAAGATGAGTAAAAAATATCTCAATTAAGATTGGGTAAAAAATAAAAGATGAAGAGAAGATACATAAATTTGAGAAAGGAAAATGGTGAAAATTTTCAAATTTGTGTTTTTTAGATGAAATTTGAAATTCTCTTATTTTAAGCAATAAAAAAATATACTCATCAATTTCTACAATTTTAATTACTTTTCAAATTCTCTGATTTTATCATGAAGGATTTCAAATACTCTATTAAAATATCTTTTATGAATTCAGGGAAAGATTGAAATGTGGGACATCCTTGAAAAATCAAATTAAGCTGCTTGGTAGCTAAATAGTGGTTAGTAAATATTATTTTTAACTTTTAAATATTCTCGACCTGGCATATTTGCTGAAAAATCGTAATGATCATTGAGAATTTTGTTGCTTGTATAGCAAAGAGAAGGCGTGAGAAACTAACATGTGGCTGAATAATAAGCTGAAAGGTTATTGTTGTGAAGAAAATAGTGCTATTATTATCAGTATTTTCTTCAATATCTTCTGTTCTGTGCTTACTTTTTACTATTTTGCTTTTGACTTTTATCTGAATGGTTGAAGAGAGAAGAAATAAGATTCATGGTCGAAAGGGATGGTTCTGCCAAAGGGATTGTTTTTAGCCAATTCACATCATTCTTGGATCTTATAAACTACTCGTTACACAAGGTAATTTAATCGTCAGCTTTTGTTTGATTAATACACCTAAATTGCTTTGGGATGATAATGTTATGTTCTAGTTGCAGTCTGGAGTATCTTGTGTTCAGTTGAATGGAAGCATGTCATTGGCTGCTAGGGGTGCTGCCATTCGGAGATTCACTGAAGATCCAGATTGCAAAATTTTTCTCATGAGCTTGAAGGCTGGGGGTGTTGCACTCAATTTGACGGTAGCTTCACATGTATGTGTTAATGTTTTGGTATTCTCTTGTTTTGGAATTTAAGTCGTCAATAAATATGCTGATAATTTACATCTCGCTTCAAATTTTATTTAGAGGTTAAGGTTTTATCGCTTAAATCCACATTATATGTCTTTCACATTTGGAGTTTCTATTCGCATCCAATGTTCATATGGGAGCTGCTTTTATGAGTCAATGTTTTCGTGGCAATCAATTTTTTTGTCGTTTCCTTTATCATGGTTCAGCTTAAGTCGGCTAATTTTGGCCTCGTTTCTTGGGCATGGTCAGGTCTTCCTTATGGACCCTTGGTGGAACCCTGCCATGGAGCGCCAGGCTCAAGACAGAATTCACCGAATAGGGCAATATAAACCTATAAGGTATTTCTTGCTCTCGATTTCTATCAAATTAGACTATAATAAATGGAAAAGTTTCCTTAAAGCATGTAGGTTGGTCCTTTCTTCGTGAACTGATACCTTTTTTATGCACAGAATTGTGAGATTTGTCATTGAGAATACAATCGAGGAGAGAATTCTGAAACTGCAAGAGAAGAAGGAACTCGTGTTTGAAGGGTAAGTGTGATGAATGAACAGGTTTGAAAGATGCTGGGCATCTTGTTATGCTTACTTTTTTTATCCTCTTTCTTTAACAGGACAATAGGTGGTTCTTCTGAAGCTCTGGGGAAATTGACAGAGGCAGACTTGAGATTTTTATTTGTTACCTGAGCAGGCTTATTTTGTTATGTGGACCAGAAAAAATGTTGTGGATGCATCTGATCATTCATTTTGCAGAACTACATTTTTTATTTATATAGAAAAAATGCTTAGAGGATGCCATGTATTGTGATTTTTTTGAAATTCCCTTATTTTGTGACGAACAGTAACTGCTTTAGATGTAAATAGGCATATAGGCTATTGACCCACTATAATTGCCTTAGCCAATAGTGGGATTTTGAAGCTTAAGGTCTTTTATTTCATTGTAGAATGTTGAATATTATTATTTTGTAGAGGTTTTCATTTATACAGAAAAAATGCTTAGAGGATGCCATGTATTGTGATTTTTGTGAAATTCCCTTATTTTATGACGAACAGTAACTGCTTTAGCTGTAAATAGGCATATTATAGGCTATTGACCCACTATAATTGTCTTAGCCAATAGTGGGATTTTGAAGTGTAAGGTTTTTTATTTCAATTGTAGAATGTTGAATATTATTATTTTGTTGAGGTTTTCAAGAAACTGTCCTTTTTGGTTGATCATAATTTAGTTTTCTTGTTCTTTATTAAGATTTATTGGAATTCATTTTTAAGTTGTATGAATGAATGACTAAATAGTTGAGGCTGAGAAGTGAGACAATACATAACAAGGCACATACTACCAATCCCATTTTAGGTGTTATTCACTTTTATTTAAAATATACTTTCTACAGAATATTTCATATCACATGAATATATACGATGGTTTATTTATTCAGCAGGTGTTGTGAATGTTTATAAACTTGTTGGCATATTTTTAATTTTTATCAAATAAAACATTACACAAAACCTGTATGTTCAAGCTGGTTTATCGATTTTCAATGGCATTCATGTAACGTCTTGCGTCGTGAGGGACATTGATAAAAAAGTTAATAGAAGTTCCAAAACAAACAATGAAAAAATGTATTGGAAATAAAAGAGTATATTTGTAAGTATTTAATATGTTTTTTAACTTTCAATTATTTAAGGACACTTATTGTTTAATTTAATTTTATAATTCTATGGCATTTACATTTAATTCAAATTTTGGGTGACAATATTATTAATGTGAAATCTTTAACAATTTTCTTGATAATTAAAAAAATTCATAAGTATATTTTTCCATTTATAAGATTCAAATTTGAATCTGAACTAAAATTTTCTCAATTTGAAACTAATACATCCCATCTAACGTGCATATTACACACTACCATTTCACTTTACACGTTTAGAGGAGTTATATATATATATATAGTTCTTTTTTCTTTTCAAAGTTGAAAAATGTTTTTTTTTATCGACCATTAAAAGACATTTAAAAAATATTACTTTTTCAAATTAAAAAAATACTGAAAAAGGCTCATTATTTTTATTAAATTATTTAGCTTGATGGTAAATTAAAATTTTAGAAAAAATAATACGTTACTTTTGTGTCTAGAAAGGTTATATAAATATTTATAATAATATTTTAGAGAAATTAAACAGAAAATCATTATTCTTTTTATTCATAAAAATTGAATATATATCATAACTATTGCACCTTTAATATAGTAAGTTAGACTCTTCAAAAAAAATAAAAATTAAACATCATAATTTATTCACTCATCTAAGTATTATATACATATTGTTGATATTTTCACAATATTAACATATTTGTCTAAAAACTTAAAAATTGAATGTCTTAAAAAAATGATAAAAAATAAAGAAATTTGAGCGTGATAATATATATCATAATAAGTTTATATTAAATAATGTACCTAATATTTTGTTTAAAAAACAAGGGTAACTCGTGAAAGATTAATTATGTCTTTAATTAAGTAATCATTTACTCCCACTATGTGTATAAGTAACAAGAGGAAATCTTAAAACAAATTAATGGAAGAAATGAAAGTGAGAAAATAAAATTAGAGAAAGTAGGAGTGACATAGATGATTTATGAAGCATGAGTAAATGATGGAGGGGGAATAAGAAAGAAAAGAAGAAGGTGGGAAGATATGTGTTGACCGTTAGGCAATAAAGAGAGAAAAGGGAGGGAAAGAAGGAAAAGACGACTATACCCTTTCCCATACCCATCTCTACCGCCATTATGTCGACTCCTCCGAGTTGTGTGCTCTACACGCTCGCCCACACTCAACCCACGCGCTCAATTCTTCCCCTTAATACCCCTCACTCCATTCTAGGGTTTACGTTTCCTTCATAATCGATCCACCACAACAATCCACAAAGGGAGCACCATGTTGCAGCTTCTCTACGCCGTCATTTTCGCCCAAATGTTCGTCATCGTCAGCTTCCTCTTCAAAACTCCCGCCAGGAAGCTCATCATCGTCACACTGGATCGGCTCAAGCGCGGCCGCGGCCCTGTCGTCTTCAAGACCGTCGCCGCCACGCTGCTCGTCGTCCTCGCTTCCTCGCTCTACAGTATCTCCAAGATTCAGCGTCGGAACCTCGACGCTCCCGTTGTTAACCCCACCGACCAAGTCCTCCTGTCTAAGCACACACTCGAAGCTTCGCTTATGGGTAATCGATTTTCGTTTCCGTTTATCTTAAATTTGATGCTTTGACATTATGCGTGCAATGCTTTTGAATTATATATCTGGATAATGAATTGATGGTGACTGTGACGTACCATGGCTTCAGCTTTGTGGTATTACGAAAATTATGATTGTTTATTTATTTCTCAGTAAAATGACATACAAAAATGAAAATCGTATAAGCTGTGTAAGTGTATGTTTTAGGAAATGGTCCTGTCTTTTCCCTTCTATTATTAGTAAACATTAGAATAAAAAAACAGAGGTGTGTATGCTGTATTTAATCACATCCAGTAACAAACTAACTGTTATTTATAGTAAGTTTATTGACTTTGTAGTATAAAAGTGAAAAAACAATTATTTCAATTCAGATAATATATTTTTCAAATCAAACTGCCATTACGATCATGTTTCTTAATAAAGTGGTTCAGGATTCGAATTTGACTAAGTCATTTTAGATATGGAATAAATCATGTCTAAAAGGAATATTCATATTGTGGTCAAGATTAATCACTGCTTTCACCAATGGTTAAGAAAAAACTTCCATTAAATTCATGTTCATTTCTTTTAATTAGGTGTAAATCAATCCGAAGTTATTTTGAAATAACTTCGACACAATTATTATAATAAACTAGCTTTTATACAATCTAAATATGACTTCTAAAATAGTTATTATAAAAGTCAATAAACTGTACATGATAGTGTAAAAGAGTTTATTTTATTTTGTCGTAGAAGTTATAAAAGTCAACATTGCCATAATTTTTTTATTGAATGATATAATTTAAATTCACTCTAGAAGTGTATTTGAATAAAGTCGTCCATTTTAAGGAATATATATATACTGAACGCAATGCAAATTCAATATTTGCCTTGTGTACCAAGTTATTTGATATAATGGGTTTCTATTTTTGCTATAATTTCTGCTTCTTTTGTAAAGCCATTCTGTGTTGTATAATAGTAGTTGAAATTGATTTTTGACATATGCGGATGTGGGCAGGGTTTGTGCTGTTCCTGTCTCTGATGATAGACAGATTGCACCATTACATCAGAGAGCTTCGGTTACTGAGGAAGGCCATGGAAGCTGCTAAGAAACAGAGTCGAAGTTTTGAGGACGGAAAACGTGTTAGTGCAGCATTATACAAGGCTTTGGTGGAAGAAATTTCCTCGTTGAAGCCTAAAATTAAGAAACTGGAATCTGAGTGTGAGGTGAAAGCAAGCAAGGCTAAGACCTTGGAAGCTGAGGTAGAGGCTCTTAGAAAGCAATCTGAGGGGTTTCTTATGGAATATGATCGCCTCTTGGCTGACAATCAGAATCTTCGGAGTCAGTTGCAGGCTATTGACCACAGTTCATTCCATGCCCTTAACAAAAAGAGGACGTGAATGTTCAAATATGATAAAACAAATTTCTTCTTTGATTCAGTTGTTTCTGCCTGAGTGGTGCGTGTTTGCATATGATAAATGGGTCTCAATAGAAAGAGGAGAGATGTGTTATGGCGATTGAGTGAGTTGATTAGAGCACCTGATATAGATACATACGAATGCTATTATATGATGAGGATAAGACAATAGGATGGCCAATAGTGTAAAAAATATACTATGAAATGTTTGGTGTCATCAACATATAGATTTACTGCGTATACAAATATATATTTTATGAACTTATCCTTCAGTGTAAAAAGTTAAGTGAAAAATAAATTTCCCCTGTTTTTTTCTCTATTGGTTCTTTCACAGCTAATCTGGGTAAAATATAGAAATCTGGTAAGGTTTCTTTCAACTGAAATTCTTATGGTGTTCTTTGTTTTATGTTTTTGGGGCGGGGATGGGGCATTGCGCCATGGACCAGACAAACGGGAGTTACACAAAGTAGCACTACATTCAAAGAATAGCTTGATAATCAGGTAACTTAGAGGATTCACGTTCATGGTAAATTAAAGGATGGAATTGGGTGAAAGATCAAAAGAATTATCATCATCAAATACCAGTGGAGGTCAATTGAATAAGAGATAATATTTCTTCTGTTTAAGACGATTGCATCAACTGGTTAGTTCATGTTATTCTAGTGTGAGTAGCTTCTGACAGCAACCAACGACGTAGATAGAGTATAAAATTCCAACTTTCAGAGCAAGCGTCCCATTTGCTGTCCTTCCTTTTATGTCCCTCTAAATATCCCTTCTTTAAAATCAAACTATAGGAATATAACTAAAGGAGAAACACTTTCAGATTTTTCGAGAAGAAAAAAATATTAAGTTTAATAATTGTGATGTGTTACGGTTGCTCTGTCATGATGTCTCTACTCTCGACACTTACTTTTCTCATCACTAACATCTAACACAAATTAAAAAAAAAAAAAAAAGTTTTAAGATTGTCTCGGATTCAGGTCCATTGTTTTGGGTGTACTTGACTGATGGATCCAAAACATTATAGTTTCTGTCAGCTCAAACTTGGCATTATTGGAGGCAAAGTTAAACCTCATTTTGCCGTGTTGTTTACGTGTAAACATATAACCAAACCCTTCAAAACTCAATCCAAATGGAATTACAGCCACATTATAAATTTTTCTGAATGTAAACTACATAATATACGAAATTCAGCATATTCCTTTTCTTTAATAAACTATTTACTGTTATACACGGTAAGTATTTTTTTTATGGATAGAAACCTACATTGTTCGACAATACTTAAAAATCATATTCTAAATGCCCTTTCCCCCATCCCTTTCGACTTGCGGTTCAAATTTGTCCTCTTTTCTTGTCTTTTTCTATTGCGTAACCTTTTGAAGAACCTACCCATACCAGGCACCTAGACCTACAATTCCCACCTTCATATGAAATAAACCATATTGGAGTATTTGAGAACCAATACCAAAGCGAATTCAGAAAACAGTTAAGCTTGAGATGATTTGTGCGGATGGGCTTAAAAGAGCAAACGGCAAATACAAATCATGATTCTAAACTCTTGGGGCCTAAGTAGCATAGATGATTCGCAAGAAGGGCATCTCAATAATGCCATTGGAGTTAATACTTTAGGGGGAAATTCTGGTTGGGGCTTTAACAACAGTGCAACTTTTTTGTATTAAACTAATCAAATAGAATTTTGACCAAATTTACTTTACTACTAATTTAGGGAGGGACCTACTACTATATATCTATTCTCTAACCATAAAAGATTGAAGTTTTCTGGTGACTAGGCTCTATGCTCTGAATATTCACTCATACAAAATAAATCAACCCACAGGGCATTGACCAAATTTCGTTACTCCAAACAGTTTCAACTAGTCATGCATCCTATTTGCATCTGATGAATTAGTATTTATCATAATGTACTGGCTTTGACATTAACCCTCCTCACCCACCTAACGTAATATTTGTTGCATATTCGCTTTGCTTTTAAAACTACGACCTGTTTTATTATATAGGTTTGGTTTGGTACTGTAGAGGAATTTGATCGGTAGTTTAACCTTCTAACTAATTGGAATTTTACTTCTGGACCTACCAAATACCATTGACAGATAAAATAGTTGGCAGAACAGATGGCATAGCCACCAACACCAAGAGAGAGAAAGAAGACAATCACTAGCTTTGGTTCCCCATGCTTCCTTTCCATTACACTCATTCAACCAACACAAATACAGATCATAGAGAGATGAGAGTTTAAAACAGAACCACCACCTGGGACCTGCTCTGCTTGCTTGCTTGTTCTATTTCTCTGTCTTTTTTAATTCAAATATTTCCCCAAATAAAAGAAGTTGATTTTTATTTTTTTTTTTGCAATGACTTTGGCAATTAGACCAAAGTGAAACGTCCCACAAAACATTAATCGAGTTAGGCTCGTGGCCGTGAAAGGTCATTGGACATTAACTGCAAAACTGACATTTAGTGTTCTCCACACTGTTGGGAAAATGAAAAAGTTCTCCAATTGTTGAATTATAAAAAATCAAATGTTGAAGGGAGAAGCGACTCACCAATGCCTCCCTCAAAATTGAAACTATCAACTACAACACTAACATCCCTACATTCATAATGATCATCACAAAAATAATCACTACTAATTCTACTATTAACATTCATAGCCAAACTTGAAGCCCCTGCTTCACTGCCCCTAGTTGTGATCCAATTTTCTTCATCCAATTCCCAAGTTGGATCCTCTGAACACAAAGCTAGCCTTCTGATCCTACCCTTGGGAGATTCCTCTGAACTTTTAATCTGAACCACATTGCCGGGGTCAGAGGCACACTCTGCCTCTTCCACAGAATTCCAAAAGCCCTGCTCAAGAATACTAGTTGGAGAACATGATTTAGATTGCTCAATTTCCTTATCATTGGAAATGAATTCCCCAAGAAACGGATGCTTCAGAAGTTGACTACAAGTCCATCTCTCTTTCGGATTCCTCCTAAAACACTTGCCCAAGAAATCCTTTGCTTCTTCAGATAGAAAACTTGGAATCTCAGGAACCTCATTGGAATATGCAACGCGGTACAACACTGTGACAGGGTCTTCCAAATTAGGCCACGGTGCAAACCCAGAGGCCATTTCAACCACAGTGCACCCAAGCGCCCATACATCAGCAGGGTACCCCTGCTCCTCCCCACGCGCCACCTCTGGTGCCATGAACATTGGCGTGCCGCCTATCGTCGGCAACGGAGACTCATTCAACAACTTAGCACATCCAAAATCCCCAATCTTGGCTCCACCTTCACCAATCAAAATGTTGCTACCTTTAATATCACAATGCACAACACCCTTATTGTGCAAGTACTCTAGCCCCTGCAGGACTTGTCGCACGTAGTGCACGATGCTCGCCTCGGTGAGCCGGCCACCGTGCCGGCGAATTTCCTGAGAGAGAGTGCCAAATGGCATGTACTCCATGAAGAGGTTGAACCAAAGGGTGTTGTTTTCCTCTGTAGTTTTACAACCTTCGTAGGCAACTATGTGGGGAGAAAACAGAGAAGACATAATCCTCTGTTCTCTCTGCAGCTGCTCCGCGTTTGATGGTGATAGCATTGCAGTCTTGACGGCGGAAACGGTGGAGGAGTAGGAAGAGGTGGCGGTGTAGACGGTGGCTGATGAGCCACGTCCTATGATGAGGCCTCTAGTCCACTCCATGTTGTGTGTTATGGCTCTGTTGGAGAGAGTGCGGAGTCTTCGGTTTGCAGTTGCGGCATTTATATAATAAATAAGGACACACTTTTGGGTTTCAGTTAGAGTGTTTATTTTATTACTTTATCTCGTATTGGTATAACCATTCAAAATAAAACCTATATTTCATTTACATGTGTCATAATTAAGAGATACATTTGATAAGAAAATGTTTTATCGTAACTTTTTACACGGTCAATTAATTAAAAATTATTATTATTTATTTTTTGATATTATCTATACATGTGTAATATGTTATTATTTTATTGGTTGGTTTGGGTGAGGTTGAATGTTTTTTTTTTTTCTTTCTCGTGTAAAGTTGAGTGTCCCTTCAAGGGGAGTGTATGTATATATAGACGTGGCCTAATTTGGGTGGCTGTGGATTTTAGTGGTGAGGACAAACATTTTAGAATGAAGTCTTTGAGTGTGTTGGTCTGAATTAAAATATGGGTTTGGATTTATTTTTGTGTTAAGGGAAGGAAGAGGGAGAAAGGTTAAGTGAAGAGTTTGGTTAGGTAGATAAGAGGGGGTTCATAATTTTGTATCATACTTAGCTAGACTTTGAAAAAGTGAACATGGGAGGTTTTAGGGTAAGGTGAATGGGGTGGGTTCAACCACCAATATGGTTGAAGTTTAGTATCTTTTTTTTCTTATGCAAGATTTTCCCTTTTTTTTGTTGGTTTTTATAATGTCAAGATAGAAATCACATAGGATGAAAACAAACACTAATCAACACGTGTGGGTTTTGTTAGAAGTCAAATTCCTGATAGAGAGATTCATTGTTTTGCAGTGTTCTATGTCAGACATAATGCTCTTTTTTTCTCCTTAGTAGTCTTTTCTTGATATTGACCATGTAAGAGTTACAATTACATAAAATTTCATGGTTGATTTTTCCCTTTAACATAAACCACTTAACTATACACCAAACTAGGCATGGCATCCTGGCGGGGCAGGTCTGGGCGGGCGCGGTTTTGCCTCCCCATTCCGTTCCAACATTTTTAATCCTCCTCCTCCTCGATTTACGTTGGGGTTAGAAATTAAGTTCACGTCACTCGTTGGGTTTCGGGTTTCACGTCCCATTCCGTCCTCGATTTATATTATTTTTAAAAAGATAATTATATTTATAATAAATTAATTTTACTATCTATTTTTTATATATAAATAAATATTTATAATTTATAATAATTATTAATTAAATATACATTTTAATTTATTATATTTATATTAAAATATGTATGTAAAAAAAATATTTAATCATTTTTTATTTATAACATTATTATTATTATAATACTGTATTCAAATATTTGAATACTTATAACATTATCATTATTATTATTATAATACTGTATTCAAACATTTGATTATATATATAAGTTAATTCATTTTTAAGTTGTAATTTAAAAATATGAAATATATAGTTTATAATGAAATATTTGATAAGTTAATTATTATTCAATTAATTCAAAGTTATAAAAGTTTAAATTATCAATTCCTTTAATCCTTTAAAATACAATTATTTTATTAAGATAAAATTTGATATATGATAAATAAGAATAATAAGATAAACAAATGACATAATAAAACCTAATAAATATAAATTATAAATAAAATAATATTAGTTACTATTAAGATTTATGTAAAATATTTAGAAAAATATAAAGAATAAAAATATTAACTGTGTTCATCAAATTGATTGAAAAGATTGAAAAAAAAAAACAAATTGATGAGAAAGATTAAGAAAATATGAAAAACTACAAGGTATAAGAGAGAATAATATAATAAATTAATTGATATAAAAGATTTAAAAAATTAAAAAAATTAAAAAATAGGTAGAAGAAAAATAAAAATTGGTAAAATATAAAAAAATGACCTTATATATAATAGAAAAAGAAAAGAAAATACTTTTAAAATATTAATATTTTAAAATTTAAATTTAAATATAAAGTCGAGATGAGACGGGGTCGGGGTGAGGATTGCATTACCCATCCCCGCCCCCGCCCCCGACTTTTTAAAGCGGGGAAAACCCGAACCCGCCCCCGGTCAACTCGGGTTTTCTCCGTTAAACTCGGAGCGGGAACGGGTCAGTCCCCACAGGGACGGACGGGTTTAATTATCATCCTTACACCAAACCAGTTAGGAGAAGGTGATTTTTTGTTTTTACACTCCTAAATCGAGAGTGTATAATTAAGAAGCTTCACAAACACTGTCCTGCAAAAGTGCATAAATATTTTGCAGCTTTCAAAAACCAGAATGAAACTCATTGAAAGATGAGTGGTACTAGAAGAATTTGGATTGGGCAATAATATATGGTGTGAAACTAACACCATTTCCATTTTTTTTAATATGAACAATACCGTTTGCATTTCAATCATTTGGCATGATAATTTTTTTCATGGAAAAGTGCAACGTACTTTAATAAGTTGTTGAAAACTTTCTCAATTATCAAGCTTTATTGGCAGTGCCCAGAAGATTAAACCCTAAGTACCAACTGCCACTTTACTCCACGCTTACTTCTAGAAGATGGATAGTAGTGATGTGGATTGGTTAATCCAAACACAACCCTTCTAAGGGGTGGTTATTTATTACTTACTACTATCTCCCAAGTAAAGCAATCATCATAAATTAATGAAGTATAATCACTTTTTTCCCAGCTAAAAATTCCTTATTTTTCATTTTTGAATTTGAAGCTGGAACTATCATATGGCATGAAACAATTGGACGAATGCATCTGATTTCGCTTTTCTAATCAATTATGGTCAAAAAGGGTGATTTCATAAACAATCAAAAATCATTGCAAGGTGGGTGTGGCATTGACATTACATTCGTTAACCTACTTTTAATTTCACAAAATTTCATCAAGAGTGATGAAAAATACATTGGTCCATTACCATGAGAATTGAGTTAAGCATGGTATTATTAAAGTCTAGAGGGGTTTGGTTTGGTAACTTAGTTGGATGGTGTGAGATAGAAGAAAGTACTTAAAAAAAGTGCTTAGAGGTTGAAAGAGGAAATCAGAGAAACTAAGAAGGTGGATTTAAGTGTTACTTATTTAAGCAGCAAGCAAAAGCATAAAGCCACATTTGCAGATCCTAGATTTCTGTCAAACAACATCAATCAATTTTTTTTTTTAGGAAATTCTGTTCATGCATTTAAATTTAATTTTCATCATTAATGTTCCGGCAACATTATTAAAACATGTATGAAAAATTAACATTACGTCACCAAACATTATATTATATTATATATTTTAATAAGAACAGAATAGAATGAAAGATGAATTAATGAGATGAGTTGGAAAGGGTGAGTGAAGGTGAGAGTGGAAAGGTGGTTGGATTGGACGACACGCAAGTCACGTGGTCCTCTTTTTATTCTTTTTCTTTTATTTTATTTTTGGTTTTTTCTATGAAAATGGTTTTTGTTTTGGCTTGTTACTAGTTACGTTACATGATCAAGAACAAAAAAGTGGGCCCATTATGAACTCGTGTGAATAACACGTGTGAGTTTAAACAGCACGTTTTTATATCGGGGGACACCAACGTTCCATGTGTTTGGTGCAACAACGCACTCTACTTTCTCTCCGGATTATCCCTCCTTACTCAAATAATAGTATTTACTACACTTTAATATAATTCTTTTTTTAATAATTTTGTTTTAAAAAATATTTTAACTTCAAGCACAAAATAATTTAATAAAAATACTTATTTATTGTAGAAATATAAAATTATTGAATAAATTTAACTACTATTTTTAATTACTATAAAGTAGTTAATTTTTACTTGTATATAAGTTTGAAGATAGCACTAAATACGTAGTCCATTAGTTTTTTTCCCAAAAATATTGTTTGGTACCTATAAAATTTTGAGAGAATATTATGTCTGCAATAACTTAGTCTTACATTATGAATTGACGTGAATAATAGTTTATATATATATATATATATAATTTTTTTTCTTTTTTAATTCATTAATATATTTTTTTAAGACAAAATTATGATAATAGAAAAAAATTATCTAAACATTTGTTTCGATACATAAGTTTATGTTTAAAAATTACGATTTTCATGAATTATTCATACCTAAAATTACATATTTCTATCGAAATTCCATTTCTATCTCATTTCATAACAATAATCGAAAAAAGAAAAAGAAAAAGAGAAAGTGTGGATATATAATGTCATTGTTTTGATTTGAAGTTTGAGCATTGTTGCTTTGTTTGTGAGACTGAAAAAAAAAATGCAAAAAAGAAGGGGGAAAAGGGGTGGTGGAATGATGGAGATGGTTAGGCAAAAGATAAAAATGTGTAGTAGAAGAATAGAATAGAAAAAGAACGAAGCTTCATTTCATGTTTGCTTTCACGTTCCGTTTTTGGTATGTGTGGTATGGTGGTGCCATGCCATGCCAAGTGCGGCTATTAAATAACACACAAACCAAACTAAGACAAAATCTTTCTCTTTAAAGTGTTTATTCTTTCTTTTTCATAAACTAAACTCCAAAGTATATTCTCAAAATTTAAAATTTGTGATAAACTTAACTTAATTCTACACAATTAATTTAATAAAACAAAAATTATTCTCAATTATATATTATAGTATTATTGTAGATTTAATCAAATTTCTTCCTCTTCCAATGGAATTTTTAGAGACATCAAGCTTCGAGGTTTCACTAGAATCCCACATTGAAAATTTTCAGACACCTATGATAAATTATTTGATGTATCCAACTATGTTCAATCTGTAACTACATCTTCTCTTCCCCTTTTAAAACGTTCAACCATTTTTGTACATCAAACAAAAGAGCTTTGTCTTGTTCCTCGTACTCACAATATCAAATCAACTAGTGAGACAGAATCGAAAATTTCTACGGAGAACAAAAACTATGACGCATTATATGCACTATCTGTTGTGCAAGCTTAATTGTTAAATTGATTATTTTCAGGTTGCAATTTGTGTAACAGCGCATCATTTCAACCCTATTAAACAATCTTTCTAGCTAAAGTCGCCAACCATGATCTCTTGGGCATGAACAGAAAGTATACCATTGAAACAACAGCTTATATTTTACATGGTCATGATTACATAACATATGGCAATAGTAAGGGTATTTACAAACACCTATCACAAGCTTAGAGTTTGTTATATTGTCTAGATAAGACTCTACTTTACCCTCACTCTGCTATGTATCATATCGTAGAGCAATAGTTTCTTCCCAAACAGAATACATATAACAGTCTTATGCTGATTCAGCAAATCCAACTTTCATATTGCCATAATCGAACACTGTATGATACCGACCCATGAAAATGTCTCCCAAAATCCTGTATTTTAGAAGCAACATTCATATGGTGAAAAAAGGTTAATATAGACATAATATTTCTAAATTTTTAAGGAATATTGGTACATCCCACAATAACGTTATCAGTCATACAAATTTTTGGTGTTCCTTCAATGAATGAGATGAATGTTTTGTGAGACTATAGGAGTCATGAAGATGAGATTGCTCAAATTGTTACTTAGATGAGAAACTAATTAAGGAGAGAAAACTATAACAAATCATTAAACCAGATAGCAGCTAGAAGAAGATATAACAGGCAAAAAAAGATACATACCATAAAGGTCCTCGAGGAGGAGCAATGTCTAAAGCTATAAATCCACTAATGCATTGTGCTGTGGCTCCTTTCCCCACTTTAAGAATATACTGATTCATGTAACAAGTTTTCATTAAAAAAATTGTGCTACATAAGTAAGGCCTAATAGTAGGATGTTAAGACAGGACATGTCATGCCAAAGTAGAGTTGAATTTTGAGGGTGTGATTTTACCAGAATAGAAAATTTGTATTATAGATGCAACATTCTATAATTTGGAAATGGTTATACCTGTTCTGGGGAAAGCTCAAACACTTTTCCCCCTATGGTGAATGAAACATTTGGCATCTCAGATAAAGTACTGCATTCAACAACTGATTCTCCGTTTGGATTGGGAACCATATCACACAGCTATAAAGGAAATAGAGATTGCAGAATATGAGATTCTTAAAAAGGACACTGATTATATTTTCTACAAACTTGAGTTTGAAGAATTTTTTACCGAATTGGCATAGTCTAAGATTTGATCTTCTGTCTCGTTTAATCGTAGACGATTTTTGATCCATACCACAGCCATCTCACAAGCTGTGCATCCAGCATCATTCCAACTATAAGATGTCTTCTTTATGTTTTTATCAACCACACTCTGGATGCCCTTACTAAAAATCATAGGAGAATTTTTGTGACTAATTTCCTTTAATGCAACACAATTTATCGTCCAAGTAAATTCATCAAAACACTATATTTGATCAGATCATACCTTACACCTTGAGTACCATCAAAAGTACACAAACCAATTTGAGAGCAGATCTGTTGTGGCAAAGCCTATGAAATTGTAGGTAATTTGGAAGTTAGTAAAAAGTGGAAGGAAGCATATGGATGAAACACATGAATGTAGGATTTGTAAGTCTCAAGAAATGCAAATTAATAATAATAATAATACCTTATTCATCAGCTTATCCAATATGACTTTTCCATATTGAGCAACCACTGCTTTGCATTCTTGGCTCACAACACCAACCGCTCCAATTGCATGATTGATTTGAGCAATGACACCCTAAAATATACAACGTTTAAGACTTGAATCATTTTCAATCTCATTACACACCAGTGACCAGTGGTTGATTTATATATGCAGTGACTGATGAATTGATCAGAAATAGATCAATGCGATAACTATTTGTTCCAACAACTTACTATTGGCTTTGGCTCTCTAAACCAGATTAAACACATTTGGTTTTGTTCAACACATTAAAAGGAATTTCTTTTCATACCGTTGGGCCAGCCAATAAAGAGGTTCCAGAATCAACAATTGCAGAGCACTTGGCAGCACAAAATCCTGAAAAATTAAGGTTAAACCAGTAACGATGAAAAACTATGGTATATATTGAAATATCCCCAATTTCAAGAATATTACTAACTACGTATGTTCATATCATATGTAATGGATACCAGTTGTTTCGCCATCAATTTGGACATCTCCTATTTCAATCTGAATTTGAAAGGGAAAATAGTTAGGGAAAAATGAAAACTGGGATTAATGTAACCGCAAAATATTAATGTAGTTTCATCATGGATTACCTGCCAATAGCCTTTATGAGTAACTGGGACATATGTGTGCACACCCTTGTAATGGTCTGAATCAACTCCACCAAAAACAATCTCACCGCCCTGTTCCTCATCAGTCTTGCGGTTTAACCAGAATGAAAATACTGGTTGTGCTACAAGCTGTTGATTTAGCATATTATACCTACGAATGACAACAGTGTATCACAAACAAAGCAAAATTTTCAAATTTAGAAATAGAGATAATGATGAATCTACTTTAGTTGAGAAGTTCTGTAATTGGGTTGTCGAATTTGTCAAATTCACCATCACATAACAAGAAGCATCCATCAACTTACCAGATAGGAGCAGCATTCCCCACAGATATCTCTTGAAATCCTAACCCCAAAATGCCATCAAATTTGGCTGCCAAAAATGTGAGGCTAGGCTCTCTAGTTGCCTCAATAAAATCCTAAGCCAAGTAGATTAAATGAAAGAGACTCATGAAACAGAACTGAATTGAAGAATAAATAGTACAGAAGTGTCGATTTAGCAAAATTTACCTGGTCATAAACATTCAAGTCTCCAACCTTGACATGGTCCTGGCTAAAGAAACCTGAAATTTGCCCAGTTCCATAATGGATTTCAGCTGATGACCCTGCATAAATCAAAGGAAGAAATCTTTAAAAACATCACCATACAGACACGTGAAGTAAAAGGATCAATAACTGATCTATGGCAAAATACTGATTGTACACAATCCTGCTAGATACACAGTTGAATACTAAATATGAGCTCTTTCCGTAGATTGAAATTTGAAATGTGGTTGCCACTTTGCGAGGACCAAACCCTTTTGCTAAACCTATCCTCTATTGGTATAGAAGAGTTTATGAACCTAATAGTACAGAAATGAATAAATAATAATACTAATATCTACATCTGTTTTCTAGACTTTGTACAAAAAAAATTTCTTTCCTCCCATTTTTAAGATAAATATGGCTAATTGTTGATTAGTAATCCGTCGTTAGATAACCTTTAATTTTCGGTGATAACCTCCGTTTAAACAAGAAAAGGCACAGAGTAAGTTTGAATGGAAATTCTAGAGAAGTTGCATGAACCAACAACCAAGAATGAGGGATCGTACCATTTTTTTTGTAGGTATCAGATTGGCTTGACTTGTATCTTGAGTGCAAATAGCAAGCAACCTGCACACAACATGGAATCACAGTTTTTTCTTCTTTCCACCCAGTTGAACAAAAAACTAAATTTTGTGGTAGAGAAATTATGAAGACTTACTGAAAAGTAACACTTGGAGGAAGGCACCCAAAGGTTGGAACTTCCAGTGTCAAATATAACAGAAAATTTCTGAGGAGGAGTACCAATACTAATCTGACCAAAATACTGAGCATTCATGTAGTTCTTCAACCGAATATTACTTATATCATCTGAATTTTCATCTCTCAAAGTTGCTCCTACTTCATCAGTATGTCTTTTGAGAATTTTGTTCTTTTTCAATCCGACTCTAATTATCCCATTGGTAGGTCCTGAGAGAACCACAGGGTGGAGAAGTAACAGGAAAAGTGCAACCAAACTATATTTGGAACCCATTTTGTGTGCTGTGGAGTTGATGATGAATATTATAGTCAGAAAACAGAAATCAATCTCAGCTATACAAGTTATTATGTGACATAATATTTTTAAGATTTTGCATGAAGTATATAGTTGTTTTTTTCCACTACAATGATAGGTAATGATTACATATACTTTACTTTGGTGATATAATTAAAGTAAAATGAAAAAAAAAAAAAAAAGGAATGAAGAAGAAGAGTCACCCACCTGAGCAGATTCAGATAGATTAAACAGAGTGATCTTGAAGGAATTGTAACACGTAACATGCATATACATGCATATCATATAATACAACCGTCAACTACCATTCAAATTCACATGTGGAGTTACAAGACCAACTACCATTCATCCTTGCTTTAACTGTGAATTTACAACTCCTTTTGAATTCAAGGCCTCTGGGCCTTCTTCCATTTCGGCCTGGTCAGTTAAGTGGGCCTTTTACCCAACTAAAGCCCAAATCTTGGAGCAATAAAAGACAAGGTAGGCCTTACAAGACTGAAATTGGGCCCTCCACATCCTATTATGTAAACATGATAGTAATAAAAATACATTATCATATAATGTTACGTGACGTGTATTAATAATACAATTGAGAAACAATGCACACGCCACGTTTTTCAAAATTTTCAACACACAAATATTAAATGTTGTGATATTCAATTCCTTAATTAACAATTTCTTTTAAAGTATTTGTTTCGTGACATGTTTTTGTTATTGTTTGCATCGTAAAATAAAATTGAAATGCATGCACCAATATTCAGCAATCAGTGTTCCAATTGACCGCCTAATAGAAACAAATCAGTAGTTAATGTATTTTATTCATCTGTAAATTTACCTCATTGATAAATTCGTATTTTTTTACAATTTTATTTACATTAAATTTGTTTCATATTTAAATACTAATTTAATTTTTTAATTATAAGTAATATTTTTGTTTTTATTTGCAAGCATATGTGTCTTGTAAAAGATACATAATTTATTTATAAAATATATCGATATTATGCAGATTTATTCTAATATAAAATAAGATATTCGTTGAAGGTGTTGTATTCATACATAATGATAATTTGTTTAGAAGTTTATGTAGGAATTATTCAAACTTTCACCACTGGAAAGCCTCCATTTTGATTAACATTTGTTCTTTCTTGAACCACACTAGAAAGAAGATCGCAATAAAGTATGATGCACCCAATGTTTGACGAGGCAAAAGCAATGTTTCATACAGTTAGCGTGAAAGACGAAACTTTTATTGAAGGATGATAGAGTGAGAATTATAATCTTTGGGAATGATTGCACAGAATTTTGTAGAGCAATATGATTCCTACTTTAGTTGCTGGGTAACATATGAGTCAGAAGCACAGGAATATAGTGAATTAGGGTGAGTGAGTGAGCGAGTGAGTGTTCATGATGTTAGGATCGAGCGCTTACCACTAGGCCAAAAGCTATAGCCATTAGTCAGAGCGCAACTCTTTTTACTTTAACAGCCCAAGCGTCACGGTTCAATTGTGACTCGGCCCACCTGACCTTCGTCACAGGACAATTGATGCTACCTGCAACAATCTCCCCCTCAGCAATTGTCCTACAAGGTATCCCACTTGTGACTTGGCCCACTCGGCCTCTGCACGGACAATTGTGCAACCTGCAACAATCTCCCCTCAACAATTGCCCATCAGAATCGAACTCGTGACCTTGGCTCGATACCAATTGTTAGGATCGAGCGCTACCACTGTAGCTAAAAGCTATAGCGATTAGTCGAAGCGCTAACTCTTTTTTACTTTAACAGCAATCTAGCGGTTCAATTGTGACTCGGCCCACCTGACCTTCGTCACACGACACCTGCAACACATGAATCATAGCCTATTACTTACTTCAGCTTTCAAATTGGCAGTGAAAGCATGCAAAAAATAAATGATGAAGCCCACAAGCTACGACCAAATTCATCACAACTTTTCCGCGTAAGTCCTAACATCACTCTTCAAACTCAACTAAAAAGCTACCCAAATTCATCAACTTTTTTACTTTACTGCAATGGAGTTGGTACTGTTAGGCTTTGTTCCCAAGACACAATAAGGTAATAGTTAAACACTATCACCACAGAAAAGAACAACACATGAAACATGAAAGATGAAAGATGAAAGACAAGTTTTTTGGAAGCTTCCAACTCTATGTGATGAGAGCTGATTGGTAAATCTGAAACAATCTGGATTTGGAGGCATTCTAGGAGATGCCTCTGGAGTTTGCCTTGATTTCCTCAGTAAATTGTGGGGTCACCACAAGCCTAAAAACCTCACCTCTCTTTCCTGTTTCTAGCATGGACAGTATCATATAATATAATGTTGTTATTTACTCTTAAAGTATAAAAAAAGAAAAAAAAAATATATATATATATATACTAACTTAAGAGTTGATAAATATTAATGATAATTTATACATATATTCTTTCAACTCATTGAAATGTTCTTAAAAATAAAACTAACGGATTAAAATTTTATCATAAATTATATCTCTGATTTTTACAATATTATTATAAAAAATATGACTAAAATATTAGATTCTTTTTCATTTCTTAATCCTCTATTATAAAGTTACATTCCTATCTACTTATAAATATATTTTATATTTTAAAACTTCAGTACATTTATGTTTATTCAATAATAACTTAAATTTGTAAGTATCTTTGAATTTCTTATATTTTAAATTTTAATTTAAGATTTACGTATAGCCATCTTTATAAAAAAAACTTTTAGATATATAGAATACAAATTTTACCATTTTATTTATAAAACAAATTACTATTTTTTTTTGTATTTTATAACTCGATATATATATATATATATATATATATATATATATATATATATATATATATGTATATATATAACATTAACAAGTGCTTAAAGTTCAATGAATTATGCGAATAGATAATAACATATATAATTAAAAGCTTGGATTATTGTATACTCATACATAAATAAATGCTATGTTACGCATAAATATAAATATAAAAATTAAAAAAGTTATAATCATATATATATATATATATATATATATATATATATATATATATATATATATATATTCTTAATTTAGAATCAAATAATAAAAAAATTATTATTAGATCACTAAACAATAACATTAAAACATTCAAATATAATATTAAAAATATAATCCTATGTCATTTAAATATAAAAATAACTACAAATATTTTCTAGTACAATCTTTTTAAATTTAAATTATAAAAATATAATTTAAATAACTATGCTGTTAGAATTATAAGACTAAAGTGTAACCATTGGTAAAAATTATAGACTTAAGTTTTCTATATTATAATGATATGATCATGTTTATCAAAATTTACGTAATTTTACTTTTTACAGAAATGTTGTCTAATAATAATAAAATAAATATCATATTATCCATTCAAATTAAGTGATGTTATAACGTTTTAAAGAATTTTCATATTATATGAAATTTATATACATAATCTACTAAATAAGAATACGAAATTCAATGGTCGAATTAATCAAATATGCATTCTGTAAAAAGTCATTGAAGATGTAAATTAATTTATTTGACTACGTTTCAAACATTATTATAACATTATATTAAAAATGAATTTTGTTGATAAATCCTTCAATTTTTAATTTTATATCATCATTTAAAATTTCATTAAAATGAAATAATATTATTGTTTTTGAAAAGGTTTTTCGCCATTATCTATTTTTTCAATGTCGTTAATTTATCTCCCAATTTTTAGAGTTTAGTTATTTTACTGGACTTAAATACAATACTGAGTTTATATTTTACTAAATTATATACAATTTCAATCATTTAATTTTATCTAATCATAATAATTTATTTATAAAAAAAATAGGCTAAATAGTATGATCTTTCTCACTTTTTTTGTTTTGTTTTCAATTTCATATCATTATTATTTATAATGTTAATTTGATTTTTTTTTAGTGTAGTTCCTTTTGAGTTGTATAAGGAATAATGTACATAGTATTAACGTGAGATGATAAATTATATAATATAATATTAATGACGTGTTAACATATTCATATACACGTTAAAAACGACGTAAATTATATATCAATACCATGTCAAGAAGTACTATAATGTCAACATTATATAATATTTTCTATTAACTTAATAAAGTGAAGATAAAAGATCACATTAGTGTCATTAAATAGAAATGAAAGTAAATTGACATTAAAAATAATAATAAAACAAATTTGAAAAAAAAGTCATAAAATAATGAGAAAAAAATCACAAGATTAAATATACTTTACGTCCTTGTATTTTTAGTAAAAATTAGTTTTGATCTTTATATTTTAAAACTTAACAAATTAGTTAAGTTAATATATATATATATATATATATATATATATGAATATAGTTTTTTATCCACTTTATTATTATTATTATAAAATAGTCGAATTTTATAACTTTCATTATCTTTCTGTTTTTATTTCCCTTTTTTTCTTCCTCATTCAAATTTACTTTTGAATGTAAATAAAAACTAAATCTTGTAGAATTAAAACAATATAACACATAATTTTATTGAAAATACAAAATTCAAAATATCTTCTTATAATATTTATGGAAAAGGTGAGAGTTATGGTATTTTTTATATTTTTGGAAAATGAATAAAAAGAAAAACATGAAACTATATCATCCATAAACTAAAGACAGTGAAATGGAAAATTATCCATTTGGTGTTGTAAGGTACCTGCCAAGTGGGCTAAGAATGGGAAAAGACAACTTGAAGATGTCTCCTTGTCTCTTATCTTTTCCTCATACAATCTTAATTTCTTCTTCACGTGTGTCCCAGGAATCACATCCTCTTTCAACCACTCTCAGACGGTTTTCTTGACCCCTTTTTCCCTCCCTTCTACCCACTGCCATTTGGTTCACGAAAATGCTTCTACCTTCCTTCTTTTATCTTCTATTCCTTGTTCTTTTTCTCTTCTGGATTTACCCTCTTCCATCACCAACAAAAATACAAAGCCTTCAACATCATCATCCAACAAAGATGCAAGACAAACCAACCTTTTCCATTCATTTCCAAATCCTTACAAAATATGGGAAACTCATCTGCTTTTTTTATGTGTAAATGTAACATTATTTTCAAACTTTATGTCATACAATTTTGAGCATATTACTTAGACATAAATAAAGGAAAAGAATATCACCTATCCGTTTTATAGCAATATATCCTGAGTGAACAAGATAAAAAAAAAAAAAAAAAGTATTTTGCTCAACATAAATTAATTTGAGCCCAATTGGCAGGGAAAAAAATCAAATTAATCTAACAAAAAATTTGAACAGAGTAAGGTTGTGAACTGTAAAACTACAACTAGTTCAATTCCTGAGAAATTGGAATTGTTAGATTTTATTTGTTGTTGTTTGATGCAATATTGCCATTGCTGGTGTTGTTCGGTGTGGTGCCGTTATTATTAGTACTGATATTGTTGTTTGGATTTGAACCCCCGATAATAGAAGTGATGGCTGCTGCCAAAGCTGCTGTGAAGTTAGGGTCAGCTGCAATGGCTGCAGTGGCGGCACTAACTGTGTCAGCAAGGTGTGGTGGTGGCCGTTGAGATTGGTTACTCGATTGGGAAGGGTCTGCATCTTGAGACGTTTGGAGGCCAGAAAACTTGGATTGGTTATACAGTGCCTGGCCAAATATCTGAGGCAGCAATGAGGATGGGGAATTGGCAAAGTTCTGAGGGATACCAGGGAAGGGGAACTGGACTTGGTTTTGGGACTTGGAAAGCTGTAGTGGGTTTGGAGAGTGAGTCAAATCCAATGTAACAGTTGGGAATGGAGCTGATGCTGAGATAGTTGCCATGCTAGAAGAGCAAGGGAGGAGTGTCCTTGTGAGGAAGTTTGCATTCATTAGGCCATCAGCACTTGACATGGATCCTGAAAGCAGCATTTTAGCTGCTGAGGAAGTGGTTTGTGCCATTGCAATAGCCGCTGGAGGCAAAGGATGGTTGTGATTCCCTTCATATGTTGTGACTAGTATTGTTCGGTCTTCAGCACACCTTTGCACCTGTTTACACATAAATAATGAAACAGATATTTTAGTCACAAATATCAAACACTACAAACCACTAGCTAACTTTATCCTACTGTTGAAGTGTTGAAGAATGATCCAAGAGCCATACTTCAATTTTATTGCACACTGATTACTTGTCACTCTTGCTAAATTAATCTCAAGCTCATCTTCATTTTTTAGTTGAAGTATATGAGATGTGCAACTTGATTTGCAAGAAATTAAGATTGAGAATGGACCTACCTGTTTTCTCACTGGGCAACCTGCTGCCATGGTACATCTATAATATGCTCGAGGACATGGGTTTCCTTTGGCCATCTTCTGCCCATACTTTCTCCATTGACACCCATCAGTGATCTGAAACAATAAACAATTTTGTATCAGATGAAAATGAAAATAAATATAAAAATTGAGAAGATACATAAAAATACAATCTTGCCTTTGCAAATTGAAAAAAGACAACTTAGATATTCAGTAATCTATATAATGAAAGGACTTTGTAGATTACCAAAAGGAGATTCCAATCCTTGTAGAAAAATAGCTTAAATAATACTTAAAAAGTTGTATCTAAATTTTATCTATTGAAAAAACTTACCATGGGTGCCTCTGATCGAGCTCTAACAGAAACCCTTGCCTTTCTCATCGTAGCCTCAGCGTGATCAACGTTTTTTGGATTTGGAACATTGTTATTAGCGGCAACCCCTTCTGAGGGACTGTCTTCCTTTTCAATTCGCCTTACAAATTCCTTCTTGTCTTGATCAAATCCGTTATCACTAACACTTTTCTTGGTCTCAAATTCCTTGGATGCTACCTCATTATTTTTTGGCGACTTTGACAGATCCTGACTTCTTCCCGCCGAGGAAGAAAGGGAAGGTTCACTACTATCAGCATTAGTAGCCAACCCAAGATCCATAAATTGTCTTGGGACCAAGGTCCCATTCACACTTTGTTTCTCCTCATCTAGTTTTCTATCAAACACTTGTTGTTCAGCCACCTCCTCCTCCTTCTGTTGTTGCATCAAACTCACCAAATGCGTCTGCAAGGCATTGTAATTGGTGTTAACCTGATCAAGCATGCTCTTCAGCCTATGATTCTCCGCCTTCATTCTCTCAAGCTCAGCTTGAAGAACAAACATCTGAAAAATTAGATGCCACACATCAAAAACATAACTTTTGAATTCTTCCCCAATTATACTGAGAAAACAAATGAATAAAAAAAAAATTGCTGTTGGGGTTAGTGTGTTATATATAAATTTATTTACCTCACTCTTGGCTCTTTTTTCTTTTGAATCAGGGTATGTCTCATCGTCCACCATGGAATGATCACTACTTGTGTTGGTGGTAAGAAGATTCAAACCAGTCTATTAAGAGAATATCAGATTCATCAACACATGATCAAGATCATCATAATATGATACTTAGATACATAACAAATAACAAATGGTGATGGAACATAAGAAATGTGCTGTAGGATAAAGGGTGACTCACGTCTACTTCCAAATCCAATATATTAGTAGTGGATGAATGATCATGTGTGTGAACAAGATGGTCAAGTGAGGGAGGTGCGGAGGTGGAGGCAGAGGCACAGTTATTCATATGGTTGTTATCATAATCATCGGTCTTGTTAGGGAAGAAGTCCATCTCGTCGATGTGAGGCCTGTTTTCATCACAGGTACGGTTGACTTGGAAGGGGATAGTGGAGATGGAGGAGGAGGTGGTGTTGGTGTTTGGAGAAGATGATTGAGACCTGTTTCTGTTAACTGTGGTATCCATGTTGGGACCAAGTTTCCACTTGTGTTGGACACTGCTGTTGTTGATGGTGGTGTTGTCTTCAGGGAAAGAGTTGAGAACTACAGGCTTATGGGGGAAGAAGCTCCCAATTGGATCTGAATCAATGGAGAGTCCACCACCTCTTGCCATAAATTTCAATAGAATGAGAGAGAGAGAAAGAGACGGAGACTAGGAAGGGAGAGAAAAAGAGAAGAGAAGAGAAAGAGAAAGAGAGAGATACAAGTCATAGTAAATGATGCATTTGGACTCGGCAATAAAAGAGGGGAGTTGAGCCTTCATAACAAGACCAAAAGTGAAATACAAGTGTCCCCTCATATTTGAATCTTGTAGCATTCCATTGGATTTTGGTTTTTTTAATGCAGATACATAGTTAAATACTGTACAACCTCACCACCTGTTCTCTTATGTTATTAATTATGAACCATCGTAATAAATACTAATATCTTTTTCATCCCATACACTCCATGGCTTTGAAAATCCGATGCTATAATTAATGAGACTAACTTTGCCCTTTGTTGCCTTCTCACTCGTGCTGGGTTGCAGTATGCACGTTCTTAATTATTCCATTTTTTTCTTTACCAAAATACTGAGAATATAACACCAGGACTCTAAAAAGAAAGAAAAAATAAATACCAATTCTCATGAAACAGTTTCTCATATACTTGGTGGTTGTCAAATACTCTTTTTCTTCTTTTTGTTGTGTTTTACTCAGTTAAATAAGAGAACGCAGGTAGAAGACATTCCAGAAATGTAGCACCACTACTTACTGTGAGATCAAGCATGTAAACTTGACCATTGGCAATTCTCATGCTTGTTTTCTTGTGCCAATTAAAATAGTTTTTGCAGGATTGACGTATAAACATACATTTGTAGACATAATTAGAATAAAGTTCATTATTTTGTTTAACATGTCAAACGGGTATGTCTTTCGTGCGCCGCTCAGAAACCGCGTACTTCTGCATCACTCAAAAGGTAAATTTTTCAATGGAACTTAAAATGAACATTTTATGAATCTTATAATATATAATTAATATTATTAATATATACAAATCTTGCATTAAAAAAAACTTCGCATTTTGATCTTTACCCTAATGAAATTGTGGTGAAAAAGTGTTGTATATGAGTCAACCCGTTTGACTGAGTTGGTGGAACTAATTAGTGGGATCTCTACAACACACGTACGTAGTTTGAATCGGATCAAGAGGAACGGGTTGACTCTGTCGACCCTGCTGAAGTGGATCTCTTTCTTATTTTATGTTCAAAGTTGTTATATATTTTTCCTTTATATTCTTTCATTTTCTTTTATTTTTTTTAAACCAACAAACTAAATCAATTTTTAACCACTAAATATCTATAATAATTTATAGAATAATTTGTGTAAATATTAATTATTTTTATTATTTTATGTATTTTGTTATGAAGAGATAAATATATAAACAGACAGTGAGATACCTATTAATTAACTAAAAAAAATTGAATTTTATTAAATAAAGAAATGAAATCTGGATACAATGTATATATTTTTTATTGAATAAGTTTATTAAGAGCATATTACTTAATTAAAAATAGAAATTATATTCTTTTAAAAAAATATTAGACTATATTTTTTAAAAGGATGAATTATTGTATGAAATTATCATCCCAGTACTTTGTCTTGGAATGGTTTTATATTTTTCTTTTTAATACTTTTTTTCATCTTCTCTGATTTCGTAAAGAAAAAATTATTGTAGTGAAAACATCAAGAAAGCTAAAATTAATATATTGTTTGAAAATCATTGGAGCAGTGGTGAATAAACTAAGTTATATGTCAATTCAAAGAAATTAGAAAAAATATTATAAAGAAATCGTTTGGTAATGAATTGAAGAAATTAGTGAACTCAACTGTACTTATGTAACTCAATGATACAAATATTTTAAAAATTTTCTTATAAAAATTTAAATCAAAATATTTTTCATTTTTTATTTTATATAAAAACTTATTACCAATAACAAACACTAGTAAGTATTATAAAAATTTTAATGCACGATAATATATTTTAGTTTAATTTTTATATATTTTTTATATATTAAAAATTTATAATTGATTATTCTAATTCTAGAATATTTAAAATTAATCATATTTTAATAATTTTATAACGGTTTTATTTTAAAAAATTGATGAATTAAAAATTAATATATATATATATATATATATATATATATATAACTTTTAAGTTCTATTTATAAAAAATATAATTATAATATTATTTTATATATTTTTTAAGAATTATAATAATTTTATAACAATTTTTTAATGTTTTAACTGAATATATTATCTATTCAGTATTAAGAGCATATATATTAATAAAGGGAGAATGCAATAATTTGAGTAAATTTATAAAATTGAATTAAGTAAACTAAACTGTTATAAAATTCAATTAAGTAGACTAAACTGTTATAAATAATTTTTGGTTTGTCTGAAACCTTTTCAATTGGTTGAATTATTCAAGATATTTCAAATATTTTAAAAAATATCTTAAATTTAAAACATTTTTCATATATTTTTAATATAATAAATTACAATTCAGTTAAAATTTAAGGATATAACATTTTTTTAAAATGAAACTGAAAAAATAAGTTCAGTTTAATTTTTTTTTTTAACAAATTTAGGATTTCATCTCCCCCTTAATCGTACAGTACCTATTAGGTTTAATTTAATTAATATTTTTGGCATTTACTATTTTTTTTCTGTATAAATATATAGAGCAAACAGTCTGATAGTCACAAAGCACATTAATAATAACATGGGTAATGTTTGACTAAATGTTAAATTGTTCTAATTATTTACATAAATGAGTTCTCATTTTTTTTAAATTAAATTGGGATATTTGTTTCATTTTTGTTAGAAAAATTAATAATTCTCAATTAAGTAATGAGATACAAAATATGTATTTTATTTTATACTTGTTAATATTAAATTTTTCCTATATGATACAATCTATATATATCAAGCTTTATAATAAATCTATTATATCATACTACTCTACATAAAATAAATGACTTTTTCACTATGAACAAAATAATAATAAAAAAGGTAATTTTTGTATATGTAAAAAAATTTATATTAAATGTTTAATAACGACCTATTTAGCTATATTTTTAAGAATGAAAGATTTTAGTAACTATATAAAAGTTAAAATCAAACTAAGAAAACATTGATAGTTATTTTGTTATTAATAAAAAGAAAAAGGAAATATATTACAAAATATCAAAAAATAATTAATAACTACCAAAAAAAGTAAAAGGTACCCACTGACAGATATAGTTCTTTTTAAAATTTAAAATTAGTTTTAAATTAAATTGGTTATAAACTTTTTTTTCATTAAAAAATCAATTCATATCATTCTAAAAAAGTTTTTATGAAAGAAAAAAAAACAAAAGAAGTTGTATTTAAATATTTTTTTTTCATAAAAAAATATTTATTATTTTGTTATAAAAACATGTTATTTAAAAAATATATATTATGTATAATTCAATCTCAAATTTGAATAGTGTGAAATGTTATATATATAATTTATTTTTAATTTTTAATATTATTAAATTATGACATTATATATTTTTTATAGAAGATTACATATATTAAATTATATAAGTATGACATTTATATTAAAATATAAATTTATAAAATTAATTATTTATAATACGATATCACAACCTATAATATTTTATGGATGTAAATTTTATAAGATTTAATTAAATATTTTTTTATTTATTTGTATAATTTATTTATTAATATTAGTAATTACTTTTATTTTTAAAATAAAAATTTAAATTAAAAGAAATGCAATTTTTATAAGATTTAATTAAATATTTATATAATTTGAATATTTTTTTAAAAATTGTATTTTATATAATTTATTTATTAATGTTTAATAATCACTTATATTCTTAGAATATAAATTTAAATTAAATGAATTAAAATGAAGTTTTGCTATAATATTTAGGATTTAGGGTTTAAAAAAATGGTTAAAAATATCGGTCAGAGTGTACCAGTGACATTTTAACATTCTATCTTATTTTCTGAATTTGTCAGATGAATCTTTTTCTTTTAAGAGTAGTTCACACTATGGCAATGTGTTCACTCTGTCCGTGATCAAATGTAACCATCATATCCATTAAACGTGCCATCTTCGGAGTCTACCATCCTTTCACATGGTCAAATTTGGCTTACATTCTGGTTTCTTGCATTTTTCAAACTCAAGTGTGAAATGTGAACATTATCAGATTCTTTCCAATGATATTGGTTCAAACCTTAAGAGAAGAATCGTGTTGTTTCTGATTTGGAAATAAAACCGTTACCCTGTTTATTTATTTTCTTTTTATCCAAGTAGTTCTTATATGAACCAATTCAGTTAACATGAAAATAATAATAATAATAATAATAATAATAATAATAATAATAATAATAATAATAATAGTTTTTATACTGTAAAAACTAAGTATAACTGTTACTTTATCACATCATGGAATTTTTTTGTTAAGTCTCCAAAAATATTGTTGATGGAATAAATAATTTTTATAACAAATAATTAAATAAAATGATAAATAAAATATGGATAGAATCGTAAATGACTCGAAGACCAAAGTCGTTTTAGTGTGCAGACTACTAGAAAATATGCTTTCAACGTCGGTTTCGGAAGGCTTTCAACGTCGGTTTAATAACCGACGTTGTATCAGGCGACGTTGAAAGTCGTAACTTTCAACGTCGGTTCTAAAGTCGACTTTAGATAGCGGTTATAAGGGAACCGCTATCTAAAGTCGACTTTCAACGTCGGTTTTTTTGAACCGATGTTGAAAGTATGATTTTTTAAATTAATAATTTTTATTTATTTACAACCCCATTACCCCCTTTTATTATCTAGAAGTCTCCCTCTCTTCCTATTATATTTTTATTAGGTCCTCCATCTCTTTATATTATATTTTTAATTTTTAAGAGAATTGTCATTAGCAGGATTCGAACCCAGTACTTTAGAGTTGGAGGCCGATACTCCAACCACTAAACTACTTGAATTTTTTGATAATAACTTACAAATAAATTATATTTATATACAAATAAATATATATCCGTGTAAATATATACAAATAAACCC